TTCTGGGGCGGTGGTAGAGGCATTCGAGCCTGGTCCTTCTGCCGGAGCTTCTGGGTCTGGCTAGTGGACCCCCCTTTGTTCCAGCTTTTTCGGCTGTTCCCACCTTTTCTTTGGGGTGGGGGCTCAGGAGGATGGCTCGGCCCCGGGTCCTCAGGGTGAGGTTCCCGGGGTTGGGGAGGGGTTGGCTTGGGGGCCTTGTTCCCCATTGGACCCCACCTATGTTTTTCTACCCTCTGAGTGGGGCTTGGTGTTCCAAGGAGAGGGGGTTCTCTTTCGCTCCCTCCACATACGAATTGGATATGGTGTTCACCTCTCCCCGGGTTCCTCTTGAGGTTATCTTGAGATGATTTCGGGGCTTTTTTAGTGTCCCCGCGGCCCGGTCCTCGACCAGGCCTCCACCCCCAGGAAGCAGCCCGTGACAGCTGACTAACACCCAGGTACCTATTTTACTGCTAGGTAACAGGGGCATAGAGTGAAAGAAACTCTGCCCATTGTTTCTCGCCGGCGCCTGGGATCGAACCCAGGACCACAGGATTACAAGTCCCACGTGCTGTCCGCTCGGCCGACCAGTTCGGTTCCATCTTCGGAGGTGCGGGGAGCCTTTGCGGCTTACCTCCTGTGCGACTCAGATTAGTCTGTCGGTCCCACGTGCTTGAGTGGCGAGAGGTTTCTACTGCGTTGCAGGTTTTCTTGGGGGCGACTTCGAGCATCTTAATGCTTGTTTGTTCGCCCCTGCCCTTATGCGGGAAGTTGGTGTCATGCAGTTTCACTTGCAGGTTCCTTCCCTCTCGACTGCCTTGGTTGCGGAGGATTTGCGGACTCGTGGCCTGCTTGCTTCGGCTCTGTGTTTTTTTTCCCTCCATGAGCTGTCCTCGGACTGGCTTCAGTTGGATGTGGGAGCACTTGGGGCTGCTGCCAGGTCCGGTGCGCTGCCCTCTGCGGTGCGGGTGTCGTCTGCTTTGTTGACGCTCTTCACGCCCATCCTGCGTGATGCGGTTTTGCGGTTCTATGCTTCTCGCTTTGCGTGTTGTCAGGTGGTGCTGCTTTCTTCCTTGGAATCTGCCTGGGCCCTGGCTCTTTGTTTGTCTTCTCCATTTTGTCCGTTGCTGTTTGCTGAGTCTGCTGTGGTGCAGTACCTGCAGGGGGCCTCGGTTAGTTGTCGGCCTATGTCTGAGTTGTTGTTGCTCCGGATGGGTCGTGCCAGGTCTGAGGGGTCCTTTCTTCGGGGTAGGCCTCTGGTGCCGAATTCGGGGCTGGCGACACCTTCGGTTCTGGCTGTTGCTGGTCGGCTTGGGGTCCGCCCTGTTTGCCGCTTGGGTTCTCGCAAGGCGTGTCGGCCCTTTTGCGGTTCGTCCCATTGATGGGGAGATGGAGGGGCTGCTCGCCCGGTTTACTCACACCTGGTCCCACGATTCGTGGGCTTTTTGGATCGTTTCGTGTGGCCTGTGGTGGCATTGGGTAGCTCCTCCTTCCTCGGGGGGGGGGGGGGGGTCAGGGCTGGCGGGGCAGGCCTCTTCTCCTGCTCTCTGTCGGGTCATCTCTGAGTGGGTTCGCTTGGGCGTGGTTGAAACGATGGCGTCCCTCAGGTGGGTTTCCCGCCTGTTTCCGGTCCCAAAACGAGACTGCACAGACCTCCGGTTCATTCTGGACTTGTCCCGTCTGAACCCATGGGTTTTGTGCCCCTTCTTTGGGATGACTACGCTGTCCCAAGTCTGTCTTCTCTTGGAGCGGGGTGTTTGGATGGTGTCCCTGGACCACAAGGACACGTATTGGCACGTCCCGGTTCATCCGGGGTTTGGGGACTGGCTCGGTTTTGTTGTGGGGCGTCAAGGTTACTGCTTTCGTTGTCTTCCCTTTGGGTTGAATCTGGCATCTTGCGTTTTTACATGCCTTACTTGGTTTGTGGTGACCCACCTGTGTTTGCTAGGTGTTTGGGTTCTGGCCTACCTCGACGACTGACTGGTTTGGGCTCCCAGCTGGTCCGCGTGTCTGCTCGCCAGGGATATGGTTCTTTCCCAGCTCGCTGGGTTCGGGTTCTTGGTGAACTGGAGGAAGTCCCGTCTGGTTCCATCTCAGGTTCGGTCTTGGCTGGGTCTGGTTTGGGATGCTCGCACTGCTTCCTTGTCTCTCCCTCCGGCGGCTCTGTTGCGCCTGCGGTCCCGCCTTCGCCTGTTTTTGAGAGGTTCCCGGGTCATGAGGCGGTTGCTCGATAGTTTGTGGGGGAGCCTGAAATTTGCCATGATGGTCTACCTGCCGGGTTGGGTGTGGCTTCGTCGGCTGGTTTGGTTCCTTCGGGGATGGCCCTTCCACCTCTCTCACGATCATTGGGTTCAGCCTCCGGGGCTTTGCGTCAGTTGGTGCGTCTCCGGCTTCCTCTTCGGGTTTTTCGGGGTTCAGTGCCTTGGCGCCTTCCCGAGCCCTCGCTCGATGTGTACATGGACACGTCGTCTCTTGGCTGGGGTTTTGTGACCAGTGCTCACCAGGCCAGCCAAGGGCGGTGGGGTCCGTCCTTCCATCGGGCTCATAGCACGGTCCGGGAGTTTGCGGTGGTGTGGATGTCGCTCCGGAGGGTTCGAGTCGCTCGCAGATCATTGATCAGGCTCCTTTCGGACTGCTCCTCGATGGTTAATTGCCTGAACCGCGGGGGTTCGATGCGGTTCTTGGCTCTTTCGGGCTGGTCGCTTCGGGTGACTCGTCTGCTGAGTTCTCTGAGTTTGGCTCTCCTGGCGGTTCACGTTCAGGGGGGCGTCCAACGTCCTGGCGGACGGCCTGTCCCGGTTCCTTCCCCTTTCCACGGAATGGATGGTCGACACCAACTCCTTCAGTTGGCTGTGCCGAACGTTCGAGACTCCGGATGTGGATCTCTTCGTGTCGGCGTGGTCGAGGCGTCTCCCGGTATACGTGGCGCCCTAAAAGACTGCGAGGCCGTCGGGGTCGACGTCTTCAGACAGGACTGGGCGAGGTGGGGTTACCTGTACCTCTTTCCCTCAGTTCCGCTGTTGCTCCAGGTCTTGGCTCGCTTGGAGGCTTACCAGGGTCGAGTTGTCCTTCTGGCTCCTTGGTGGCCGGCCCATCCTTGGTTTCCGGCACTGTTTGCTCGGTGTCCGAACCCAAGGGTCTTCCCGCGGCTCCGCCTCTTTCAGCAGATCGGTCCAGCCCTGTACGAGGCTGGTTCGGTCTTCTCCTCGAGTCTTCACGTCTGGTGTTTTCGATTCAATTTTATCATTTCTTTTATGATGCACAGGTGGCTTCATTGTTGGTCTCCCACCTGCGTGCTTCGTCTCAGTACGTTGTGGATTTGTCACGGCCCTTGTGGATTTGTTCATTTGATGCATCACGCTATTGTGATTTCTGTGTGTAATGAAGTAAGGGCGAAGAGGTAGAATGGCCTATTGACATAGCTCGAGTGCATGGGGGGGAGTTGCGTAAAACCCTGGTTTGTGTCTCAGAGAGGCTGCAGGATCCAAGTAAATTCAGTAGAATTTCTGGTTGCAATTCTTATACCATGTCGTAGCTCAATCGATTAAGGCAGCGTCTGGGATGTTCTCGGACGTAGGTTCGAATCCTCATCACGGCCCTTGTGGATTTGTTCATTTTATGCATCACGCTAGCGTGATTTCTGTGTGTAACTATATATACATGTTTATATATAAGTATCTACATTTGTGTTTACCATAGCAAACCACTAAGCTGGTATGGTGAGTGCAGACAGTAACAGGTGGCCACACATTTGGGAGAGCCGGTGGCTAAACGGACAGCACGCTAGACGCGTGATCCTGTGGTCCCGGGTTCAATTCCGGGCGCCGGCAAGAAACAATGGGCAGGGTTTCTTTCACCCTAATGTGCCTGTTACCTAGCAGTAAATAGGTACCTGGGAGTTAGTCAGCTGTCACGGGCTGCTTCCTGGGGTGTGTGTAGTGTGGGAAAAAAAATAGTAGTTAGTAACAGTTGATTGACAGTTGAGAGGCGGGCCGAAAGAGCAGAGCTCAACCCCGCACAACTAGGTGAATACACAGATTCGGCAGATGACGCTACCACCCTTCCTCGATACTGTATTACTGTTCCCACCATACTACGCACAGTGCAAATTATCACAACCATCCTGCTATTATCAGAATCCTGGTCATTTTTATCAGTCAGGGGTCTTCTGTAATACTATCATCACTAAACAATACCAGTTACATATATACTGGTATATATTTTTGCATTTTTTAAGCGATGCTATGATCACAACCTGAACAGCAGTGCTGTAAGCTCGTGCTGCATGTGCCAGCCTTGGTGGCTCACTCAGTACTGAGGCTCTCACACTCGGGCATGTTGTCCACAATTTTTTTTTTTAAATGGCGTCTGTTTACAAGAGCCCTGAGGAAGCTGATGTTAACCCTGTGTAGCCGTGGGACTTTTAAATTTTGCGTGGTACTCCCACACATCATATGATGTGGTGTGCAATTCTCCAACAGCTACTCACCACATCATGTGTTGTGCAGTTTAAGGGTTAAAGTAGTTTCTACAACTTTTACTTCAAGCATGTGTCATTTTTATTCAATACGGGTGGTAGGAAAATTAAGCTTTGCGAATCTCCGACTCGCTTGCGTTTCCAGTTTCTACCTTTATCTCTTCATTCTGTTTTTCCTTATCTGGAAATCATTGTATCTTATATGTTGACTTGGTTTTCAAAATGATTACTGCTGGGAATACATCCTCATATTAAGCAGATTCTAGACATTATTTTAGTGAAGGTTTCCAGGTGAAGATATGAGGAAGGGTAAATATAAATGATGCTTCTTTATCATGTACCGTTCTGAAGATTTTATTTGCAACATGTTGACTTTTTTTTTTATATAAATACTCTATAAATTTATTTTATAAATTTATAATATAACTTATAAATATTTTTTTATAAATACGTGTACATAAAAATGAAGATAAATTTTGAAAGTAATTTGAAGTAAATTTTATCACAAATCTTGCTTTATGTCTTGTGGTTATTTATCTTTCAGACTGCCATCCGAATGTGTGTACCAAAGGACCATTATGCTCCATTGTTAGACTACCTAGCTAAACTCCTAGAACTCAAGAACTATGTTCCCGAACCAACAGGGCCCTCAACGAAGTTAAAATCCTCTGCTCCAGTACCAAAGTTGCAGGCATTAGCTGAAGGTACCCCAGCTGAATCCACAATATCTACCATTGTCCCTAGTTCAGTGATTAAAAACAGAATAACCTTGGAGACAGGGGGTGGCATTATAGTTCCTGATGTAAGTATAGTGCCTGATGTATTGAAGCTTTCACAACCTCCTGGCAAAGTTTCTACAGAAAGTTCAGAGGCTGTGTTAGTTTTGGAAAGCCAACCTCCAGTCCAGCCTATGGAGGTCTCCATACCAGAAACCGAGAAATCTCCACGAATAGATTCACAACAAGGTCAAAATGAATCTAAACAGCCACAACCAAAGCTGGAGGAATATCAGCAACCGCCTGCATATCAGCAACGTAGTCCACCGCCATATAAGCAACCACAGCAGGAACGTGTCTATAAAGAACAAAACCAAGATTCAGAAGTCCAGCAAGAATTCATCCAAGAGAAGGAGTATGACCAACATCAGCAGTTCCAGCAACAAAAGCAATACCAACAGCATATTGAAGAATATCAGGGGCAGCAAAAATGTGACGAGGAAATTCGAGAAGAGTATCGTGAACCTCCGCCCAGTTACCATCAGCAGCATTTTACAATACCAACAGGTTACATACATGAGGAGCCAAAGGTAGCACACCCATTAGAAGATAGAGCACCAGAAAAACCACAGGCAGAAGAGGAAAGTCGAGCAACGCCTCGCTACCATGAAAATCTTCCGCTAGATCCATGGGGGATACGCAGACAAAGTGATCCACCTCATCAAAGTGATGCCAGGGAGCTGGAAGTTATTCAGCCAATGGATATGGGTGACAAGTCTTAAGAGATTACAACTACAGTACCATTATAATCTCTATATGGCAGCTTTACATGTAAGTGTCTTGTGAATCAACTTGATGTTTAGCAATTTCATTGTAAATAGTAAAACTTGTACTGTATGTCGGTATCAAATTCTCTCTAATTAATGTTTATTTGAAGTGTTAATTATTTGAAGTGTTAATGTAGGAATATTATTTATTTTTCTCAATTATAGCTGTACTTTTTTTTTTTTAAGTGGATGTGGGGAGGGAGTCGCATGAAAGTTTGTGTTCGTCTTCCAAGGCAGGAAGAGGTTTGAGTGTGTGTCCATTAACCTAATATTAAATAGGTATCTCAGGATCTTGGTAACTATTGTGGGTTATACTGTGCCCTAGAAAAGGTCAGAAGTTGGATTATGCCAACCTCGATTAGCCTAGCAAGCTTCCTATCCTTGAAATACAAAACTGAAACAATGTACACAGTATTCGGCTGGGATAGTGTGGAAAGGGACTGTTGCCCTCCTCAGGGAGGTAGTGTCGTCTCCTCCACTTCCCTCCCACGGGAGAAGACGACGTCGTCTCCTCCCCTGCCACGGGAGGTATCCTTCCATCTTTTACTGGGATAGGAAAGGGCAAGAATGTCTCGTCCAGTGTTGGCTGCCACCACTTGCTAGAGGTCTTCAACAGGTGGGTAGCCTACAACCCATGTTAGCAGTGCAAGATTTGTCAAGCCTTGTGCATTTATGGTGCCCATTCCCCCTCCCTTTTCAAATCCTCATTTCACAATATAGTATGTACAAGGTATGTATTACAGCCGCAAAAAAAAAATCCTGTGATCACCTGGATCCGGATGCATATATATAGCTATGTTGTGAAGATCCGAGCTGCTTAATAAATTTTAGAATAACTTAAGAATTTTGTTCTGCGACTTACTCTATTTGCTTTTACATTACGTACTTTTTTTTTTTAAGAAAATAAAAACAGTTATGTAAAGCCAGCTTTGCTTCACTTGCCCCCACTTCCTCCCAAAACAAAATGTATTTCAGTTAATAAATTTGTCATTAGTATTTAAAAACAGCTCCATATACACATACAGTAATTTCTAGGCAACAAGTGTTAAGTACCGTTAAGGAACAAAACTGCCTATTCCCTCCTATGCTGCTCAAGTAATTCTGGGAATCTAGCCCAAATTAATAACCTATTTTTAGTCAATTTCATTGCAAAGGTAGTCGTTTATCATTTGTTTTTTGCCTGCAATTGGAACCTCATCAGATAGATACATAGAGGTAAATCGGACAGCAATGCCTTGCCAGATAGGGCAAGCATTTCCAGATAGGGTTAAATACACAAGTAAAAAGGAATGCTATCTGGCAGAATTAATGCCTCAGCTCGATGTCCATCCTGTCCCATACGGCGAGACGTGGGACTTCGGTGGGCCTGGTTGGGAGCTCTGTAGTGGGTGCAGCTAACTTTTCTGCCACTTGCTGGTGCTGGAGGTGAAGCCGCTGCCGGAGGAAATCATAGAGCTCGTACTCCAACCCCAGCCTCTGCCGAAGCACCGTCAACACTTGCTCCGATACCTTGGGATACTTCTTTGGGTTCTTATTTACCAGACGCTGATCCTCAAACTCTACAGGAAAAAGAATTATTATAAGAAGAGATGATTTATAATAATAAAAATTATAAATAATAATAAGAATATTATCATCATTTGGCTAGGAGTAGGTAACTATCAGCCTAAATACTTCCTACACAGTTGTTATTGGAAGCAGAAAATACTACCCTACAGTGTTAAACCATGACCTTGCAGTGTTACCATTCCACCTTAATACACCCCCATACTTTTTACCTCGCCTAAAACATTATCATCTCTCATCCTTAAATATACCTTCCTACCCCTTATTTGCTAAAAAAAAAAAAAAAAAGTAAATTTTGTAAAGCCAGCTTCGCTTCACTTCACCCCCCCCCCCCCCCACACCCTCCCAAAACAAAATGTATTTCAGTTGCCTAGCTCACATGTCTGCCATCACATCTCACCTTGACTCCAGTATCTCTGTCGAGCTCCCTGGAAAAACATTGGGAGGTAGTGCTCCAGGACTCCCAACGTGGTGTTCCAGTGCTCCGCGAGCCCTACCACAGAGTACTCATATTCTGCATGGAATTTAGCTTTCTGCAGAGCCCACTTATTGCCCAGTTTTCTGTGGGTGAAATGGACAAAAGGGGACTGATTGGGCAATTGTATTTTTAGTATAAATGGTGGATGAATGTGTTGACTGGCTGGTAGGTGATTGCTTGTGTACTTTTTGGAATGGTTATTTTGAAAATAGGTTTATTTTTGCTCTAGTTGTCTGCCTAATTTTATTGAGCGACTCATCGATTGAATGCTCAATTAAATGGATGACTGGTTGAGTGGTTGCATAAGTTGGTTGACTGCTGGAATGATTAGTTGGACAACTAATAGTAAAAGGGCTTTGCTGTTTTGGTTAACTGATTAGCTGGATGTTTGTTTTGTTACTTGATTTAATGATTCTCCGATTTATTATTATAACTGACTTATTGATAAATTTTAATTCATATTATAACACAGACAGGAAGACTGTTTGACATTAGACAGAGCCAGCCACATAAATACACAGGCATTTATAGAGAAGAAATACAGATGCAGAATGAACTTTACAAGCAGGGTTCGTCCTGGCCGCACAGAAATGGGATGGCAGAGGTGAAGTCATTGGTGTCTGATTTCAAGTCACATTCAGTGTCATTTTCCAGCACGCACTCTTCCAGCTTTCTCCAGTACCACGTCCGACCTGTAAACCAATGATTGTATTAAGACATGGTGAGCACCATTTTAGCCACTTTATACCACCTCCTCCAACTCTAATCTTCAGCCCATCTTCAAACCACCTCTCCCATTATTTTTGTTTATATCAAAGGCAGTCACCTATTCATCAAAATACAGTAGTTCATTAAATTGTAAGCAGTGGCTTCTGTACACATGGAGGTTATTCTGCATATTAATTTCTCCTACATGTGACTGTGATTTCATCTAAGTGATCTGTGCATCTGTATAAATGTGTGGTTGACATGCTTGAAGGAAGGTAATGTGTGTTCGGTGTGTCCGGGTGTCTTATTATTGAAGTGTAATTACCGGAGGAGAGTTACGCTTGTGGTGTTCCATCTTCCCGGTACTCTGTCGTAAAACACTTAGAAACTACTGTACTGACTGTCTGGCCTCCACCACCTTCTCACTTAACATGCTTCAACTGTCTACCATTTTGTTTGCAAAAGGAAACTTTTTAATATTTTTTCGATACCTTTGTTTCCTTATGTTGAATTTATGTTCTCTTGTTCTTGAAGTTACTGGTTTCAGGAATTCCTCTATCAATTTGGTTGATTCTTGTTATAATTTTGTAAGTGGTGATCATGTCACCTCTTTTTCTTCTAATTTACCTAGCTTTGGCTAATGTAATATCTCTAGCCTCTCCTTGTAACTCTTATTTTACCAGTTCTGGAAGTCATTTTTGTAGCATGCCTTTGCACCTTTTCCAGTTTATTGATGTGCTTCTTAAAAAATGGGCACCATACAACTGCTGCATATTCCAATTTTGGTCTCCCAAGTCATGAACAGTTTCTTAAGTATTTCACCATCCATGTAATTAAAAGCATGTCTGAAGTTGGAAAGCAATGCATATGCTCCTCTCACAATGTTCTTTGTGTGTTCCTCTGGGGACAGCTTTCTATCCGAAACTACCCCTAGGTCTCGTTCTTTATTAGAGTTCTGTAATTCCTTTCCACATAGTAATTTGTAGGTTATGTGTGGTCTTATTTTCTTCGATTCCACATTCCATAACATGGCATTTATTCACATTGAATTCCATTTACCACTTGACGCTCCAAGCATTTATTTTATTTAGATCGGTTTGAAGGGCATTACAATCATCCGAGCCTTCTATCTTTCCCAGTATCTTAGCATCATCCACAAATAATTCTTTATTTCTTCTGGTAGATCGTTTCTGTAAACGACGAACATTATGGGTGCAAGAACTGAACCTTGTGGTACTCTGCTAGTAACACTCCTCCTGTCAGATACATTGTCTCTGATTGCTACCCTCATCTGTCTCATAAAATTTTCATCCATGTTAGAAGTCTCCCTGTCACTCCTCCAGCATGTTCCAGTTTTCAGAACAGCCTCTTGCGTGGAACTTGGTCAAAATTTAGGTCCAGATAGGCACAGTCAACCCAACCATATCTTTCCTGTAGTATCTCTGTGGCTCTATCATAAAAACCAAGTAGATTTGTTACACAGGATCTTCCTGTTCGAAAATCATACTGTCTATCCATTTTTATGTCATTACTCTCTAGGTGTTCAACCCATTTGGCTTTTAACTATTGTTTCTAGTGCTTTGACCACCACGCTTGTTAGTGATATGGGTCTACAATTTAGATGTTCCTCTCGACTATCATTTTTATAGATTGGTACTATGTTTGCCTTTTTCCATATATCTGCTAATATTCCTGTGCACAAGGATGTCTAGAATATTAATTGGAGTGGAATGCTCAGCTCAGTTGTACATTCTCGCAGCACTCAAGGTGAAACTCCATTTGGTCCAACTGCTTTATTTCTTCCTAGCCCCTTAATTAATTTGTCCACTTCATCTTGAGATACCTGTGTGTGTTCTATGGCATGCTCTGGAATTGGTATTTGGTCCGGCTCTTTAAAATCCCCATTTTGTACAAACACACCTTGAAACTGTTCATTTAGTGTTTCACACATTTCTTTTTCATTCTCGGTAGTCCTGTTCCTAGTTCTCAATCTCTGGATTTTATCCTTTACATGCAGCTTGCTTTTTATGAATTTATAGAAAAGGCCTGGATCTATTTTACATCTGTCTGCTATACCTTCCTAAAAGTTCCTTTCTGCTTCTCTCTCCTCACTTCTGTGTAAATGCTTCTTGCTTGCATGTAGTGCTGGTATCAACTGTTTCAATGCCCCTATTATCTTCTAGATTATATCGCAAAGCATATTTAATTTCCAACAGGGCATGATCACTCTTTCCCAAGGGAGGTGTGTGTGTGTGTGACCTCCCTGTCCAATGCCTTTGAACGGCACCTAAACATCCCTCAAATCTCCTTCAGGTCATTGAAGGAGATTTGAGGGATGCTTATGAAGACAAGTATGAAATGCCATCCTCTGTCCAAGCCATCTGAATACTCATTCATGTGTGCCATCCTGCTCTCCTTTTTGTGCTGTCATCCTCTACCACTGTACTGTATATCCTGGCCTTTGTCATGGTCACAGCTATAGTGACCTTAACCATTCTTAGTCAAGTTCTGACAAATAATGATACTAATATAATGGTCTAAAGAAAAGCTTCATTGCGACTGCAAAACTCCTTCCTTCCTTGCTACATATCCCAAACAATGCCATACCATCCCTCACTCACCACTTCCTGGTCTCTGCTTCTCCCTCAACGCCATCTCCAGCTTGACTCTCTCTTGGTTGACTCGCTTGAAGCGGAAGTGGGAGATGTACTTCTCTACAGGGTCTCTCACCAGTGTGATGTAGGCGGGGCGCTGACTCACGTACTGGCTGTTGACCAAGTCACCACGTCAGTTTATAAGTGAGAATGCTGCCTTGTTTTTCAAGAGAAGAAAAGCCAAACCAAACTCATGTATATGAGTTTGGTTTGTTATCAATAGGCCTTCTGAATTTTTGTACTCTTATCTTATTAAGATGATGTACTCTTGAGAATGTAAAGTAAGAATACAATAATAAAGCAAAATGCTCGGATTCTGGCACAAGTCAAGACCACAAGAGCATAGAAAAGTAATCAAATTCCATGCACATTAATGCAAGTATTTATACTAAACAAAATCATATTACTGTATCTTGATAATGGGAAACTTTAATCATAAAACAGTTCACTGGGAACACTTTAGACCAACACAGGACAGAAATAGTGTCGGCTGCTGGAGGCAACAATTAGGAGTTTCTTAAATAAGCATGTCTATGGACCAAAAAGGAGACTATTAAACAACCCCAAAACCATCTAAATATTTGTGATGGTCTAAAAGCATATTACAGTTCCAATAATATAGTCTTCTTGTAAATTGGCAAATGACCCTTTGTCCTAAACAGAATATTCTCAACATATAGCTTTATTGTATTATAAATCATTGGTTTAAATGATATAAAAAGTGTATGCCAAACTTGTTTTCTTCGAAACGGTCTGAAGATTTTGGTTTTCTGTAATTGAAGTTGTAGGAAATACTCAAATAAATTATAAATAACATTTTATATTTTTTAGAATAATACACCGTATTACCATGAACAAACATTATGAAACCCCACCTAATGAAACCTAATCTAACTTTCACCTAACATAACTTTAACCTATCCATGGATTGGGAGTCGATAATAGCACTAATTACATAGTGGTTTTGAAGTCTTTACGTCCAAGGGAATCATCTCCCTGAGGAAGATTGCAGCAAGATGCTCTAGTCACAAATTGATTCTTAACTCCTCCCTCTAAACTGAAGAAAAAGACAGTATTGTCACGATAGTTAAAATATTTTGCTCAGTTGACAAACTCCAATAAGATGAGCCAATTCTAGCACATCATCCTCGCACCCGTAAGACATTAGCATTCCTAGTTAACAACCCGAGAACGTAGAGGATAATTCCCATTGTTGGAACATGAAACCTGTACTTAGACATACACTGAGGTCCCCCGAGGTCGACTACTGACCTCCCCAGGTTCCAACCCACCACAGTTCACAAAGTCCTAGGTACTGTTATTTACTCCAAGGTGAACAAAGGCATTACTTGAAAGGAAATGTGCCAAACCGTTTCTGTCCCCACCTGGGGTTCGAACCCAGTACTGTATCTTAATCTGAAAGTCAAGGCCACAGACCACTGGACTATCAGACTCGTAAAAACACCTGAACAAAAAACGGAAGTAGATATCACACCAAACAAACAAAAACACACGCACACACAAAAAAGCAGTTATCTGCAAGAAGTACCAGACGATCCGGGATGTGGTAGATATGCGGGCCACTGCAAGTAACAGTCTGTTGGACCAAGTTATCACAAGCCGAGCCCAACCCCGGGCCGAGTGCGGGGAGTAGAAGAACTCCCAGAATCTCCTCCAGGGTATATCGGAAAACTTCAGGATTACCAGTCCTGGTTATTTTCCACTCTACACTTACTTTGTCCACTCATCCTTAGCAAGGAACTTCCAGACTACCTATGCGTATGCCTATTCCCCCCCCCCTGGGGAGCCGGTCGGCCGAGCGGACAGCACGCTGGACTTGTGATCCTGTGGTCCCGGGTTCGATCCCCGGCGCCGGCGAGAAACAATGGGCAGAGTTTCTTTCACCCTGAATGCCCCTGTTACCTAGCAGTAAAATAGGTACCTGGGTGTTAGTCAGCTGTCACGGGCTGCTTCCTGGGGGTGGAGGCAAGGTCGAGGACCGGGCCGCGGGGACACTAAAGCCCCGAAATCATCTCAAGATAACCTCAAGATAACCCCCCTCCCTCCTCCCCATCCTTCTTCCCCACGAAAAGGAGGGGAATTTCAAAACCATTCTATGCAAGAATTCCCTTCCTCCATATCCCTTTCCAGAGTTACTCTCCCAGAAGTGCCCTCCAGACATCTCCGCGGTTCTGACACCTCGTTGTAGGCCGGGGGGGGGGGGGGATACCAACCTCCTGTGTTTAGTAAAATTGATGAAGAGTGAGAACCGGTCATAGCTCTTGGGCCAGAAGTTGTACTCGAACCAGGTGGCCAGGTTCTTCTGCTCCTCGTCACTCATCAGCCTGCGAGAACAAGGAAGGTTAACACAGCGGCCACATTATTAAGGCACCCACAACAACGGGGTATAAACAATTCAACTGGGAGAGCATAATAAGGGGCCGGAGAGAATTACGAAAATATATATGAATAATGAGAAGGTATAACTGGGAAACAAGAACTCAAGAGCCACCAATGAAAGGGTATATTAAAGGGGGTATATTTAGTAGTAGGCATCCTGCCGTCTCGGGAGACTATATATGGAGTTGCACTCTGGTTGTCTAGGCTGGAGTGTTCTCTCCAGGGAGCAAAGCCTGGGTAGGTTGGTATGGAGAAGCTGTTACCCATGCAGCAGGTCCCCCCTCACCCCACCCCTTTCCACTTCACTGAAATTGTTCAAAGGAAAGGCACACACCAATACGCCTGATTCCAGGGGGGCGGGGTATATTAGGAGGTATATTAAAGGGTATATTAAGCGGTACGAGAGGCCAGAAAATGGGCATAGAGAGTATAACAAGATGACAACAGCCAATGACGCAGCATGAGGAATTCACTCGCTGAGTTAAACAAATCAAACCGCTCAGATGAACTATTAACATGGAACAACGAGGCAGCAGAAGACATAAACACACAAATATTGACCAGGCATACATTATACTGGCCAAGCTTAAAGACGCCATTTAGCTTGAATGGCTATTAAGATGGGCCTTACAAAACGTGTACTGAAGGAAGATAAAATAGACCCAAAAGGTCAATAACAAGGTACGAAGTAGTGGAAGAGGAGAAAGACACGTGTACAAGGATACAAAAAAGGCCCCAAGTAGGCAGCAAGCACTGAACAGAGTTCGTAAATGGTGTAGAAAGGGGGCATTGAAAGGGCAAGAAGATTAATAAACCACAGAAAGGAATGAAACAATGTTAAGGGATTCTGATCCCTGTTAGTATTGACAGGAATGTGTGGCCACGTCTGTGGTAATAATAATAATAGTAAAATATTAACAGGGATCAGAAGAGGGATATTGGCGATAAACTGTCCTTCAAAACACAAACAAATGGCCCCCATAACGTTATATTTACCGTAGTTATTTATACTCAGGCCATTGATGTATGTAAGGCAGTAATAATGGCAATGCCCGATAACCTGTGGGTATAGCCGATAACTTGAGGTTATGACTGATAACTCGTGGATATGGGATATAACTTGTGGGTATGGCCGATAACTTGATCTCAATATCAAGTAAAGAATTTGCACAACAAGCAAATTTTCGAAATATTATGATTTCCCAATAGGCCTTCCTGGGGCAACACTCCCCAGGAGCGCGCGAAGTCATAATAAGAATTTCCATAGTGTGTAATGTTAATATGCTCAGTACTACTCTCCACAGGGTTGTGTAAGCACGCAGTGGGGATAGGTGGGGGGGGGGGGGCAGCGGGTGATATTGGGGGGAGCAGGGGGAGATATGGGGGGCAGGGGGAGATATTGGGGGGGGGGGCAGGAGGAAATATAGGGGGGCAGGGAAAAATATATGGGGGGCAGGGGGAGATATTGGGGGGCAGGGGAGATATTGGGGGGGAGCAGGGGGAGATATTGGGGGGGGGGGCAGGGGGAGATATGGGGGGGGGCAGGGGGAAATCTTGGGGGGAGCAGGGGGAGATATTGGGGGGGGCAGGGGGAGATATTGGGGGGGGCAGGGGGAGATATTGGGGGGGGGGCAGGGGGAAATCTTGGGGGGAGCAGGGGGAGATATGGGGGGCAGGGGGTGATATTGGGGGAGCAGGGGCAGGAGGAAATATAGGGGGGCAGGGAAAAATATATGGGGGGCAGGGGGAGATATTGGGGGGCAGGGGAGATATTGGGGGGGAGCAGGGGGAGATATTGGGGGGGGGCAGGGGGAGATATGGGGGGGGGGGGCAGGGGGAAATCTTGGGGGGAGCAGGGGGAGATATTGGGGGGGGCAGGGGGAGATATTGGGGGGGGCAGGGGGAGATATTGGGGGGGGGCAGGGGGAAATCTTGGGGGGAGCAGGGGGAGATATTGGGGGGGCAGGGGGAGATATTGGGGGGGGCAGGGGGGAGATATTGGGGGGCAGGGGGAGATATGGGGGGGGGCAGGGGAGATATTGGGGGGGGGCAAGGGGGAGATATTGGGGGGGCAGGGGGAGATATGAGGGAACAGGAGGGAGGGGAAGGGTCAGGAATGTTGTTGTTGTTGTTTTTAGATTCAACTACCCGGAACTAAAAGTTGCAAGTAGCACGGGCTATGGTGAGCCCGTAGTGGCCTTACCTGGCACAGGAGCGGGGCTGTAACTGCGCGGGGTCAGGGAGGGAGGTAGAAAGGGAGGGAGGAGGGGGGGGGGGCTGAAGACACAGGAGGAGGGCAATACGGGGAGTGGGCTGAAAATGAAGGACATTCAGTCATAGTTGACGGGACGCCGGGCGCGTCTCCAAAAGACTGAATCACCCTCTGCCAACACGTCTCCGACGGTAGTGTTGAATATGTTCCAGTAGGCTACGTAAGCGCCATGGAGTCCTGTAAACGTGGCTACATATGCGAGGAGTCCTATAGACGTAACTACGTACACCAGGGGGTCCTGTAGACAAGCAGCCTACCTCTGCCAGGGGGTCCTGTAGACAAGCAGCCTACCTCTGCCAGGGGGTCCTGTAGACAAGCAGCCTACCTCTGCCAGGGGGTCCTGTAGACAAGCAGCCTACCTCTGCCAGGGGGGTCCTGTAGACGAGCAGCCTACCTCTGCCAGGGGGGTCCTGTAGACAAGCAGCCTACCTCTGCCAGGGGATCCTGTAGACGAGCAGCCTACCTCTGCCAGGGGGTCCTGTAGACGAGCAGCCTACCTCTGCCAGGGGGTCCTGTAGACGAGCAGCCTACCTCTGCCAGGGGGGTCCTGTAGACGAGCAGCCTACCTCTGCCAGGGGGTCCTGTAGACGTGCTCCTGGTGCTGGTAGTCAAGATCATGAGCCAGAGACTTGAGGAGGGAGACCAGCGTCTGGCCGCCAGTGCGCGGGACACGGTTGAAGAAGAGCCAAATGGTGTCCGGCGTCCGGTTGGCGGCCGACGGCAGGATGACGGTGTCGTCGAGACGCGCCAACACCTCCTGCTTCTCCCGCCACCCGGGCTCCTCCGTCGTCGTCGTCGGCGTCGTCGTCCTGCCGGCGACAAAGTATTCATGACACTCGCCCTGCCCAAAAGGGGTTATATAAACTCGCGGAACAGCCTACCCGCCGAAGCCGCAAATGCCTATAGACACTACTGGAGTTCATGATCCATTTGGAACAAATTTCTCTGGAAAATTGGGGTGGGATCTTTGACAAGCCAGCGGACTCCTGTCCCTGTCGAGGCCACCTGATGGATTGTGACCGTCAGGCAAATTCAGGTAAATATAAAGGTCTATTATTCGACACAAATAGTTTTGCCGTTCACCCACATGGCAAAAATGGAACAATAAAGAATTACGCTCTTTGGGACACAATGGGTATGGGGTCCACTGCCACCCACAGGATGGGTATGGGGTCCACTACCACCCACAGGATGGGTATGGGGTCCACTGCCACCCACAGGATGGGTATGGGGTCCACTACCACCCACAGGATGGGTATGGGGTCCACTGCCACCCACAGGATGGGTATGGGGTCCACTACCACCCACAGGATGGGTATGGGGTCCACTGCCACCCACAGGATGGGTATGGGGTCCACTACCACCCACAGGATGGGTATGGGGTCCACTGCCACCCACAGGATGGGTATGGGGTCCACTACCACCCACAGGATGGGTATGGGGTCCACTACCACCCACAGGATGGGTATGGGGTCCACTACCACCCACCGGATGGGTATGGGGTCCACTACCACCCACAGGATGGGTATGGGGTCCACTACCACCCACAGGATGGGTATGGGGTCCACTACCACCCACAGGATGGGTATGGGGTCTACTACCACCCACAGGAAGGGTATGAGGTCCACTACCACCCACAGGATTGGTATGGGGTCCACTACCATTCACAGGATGGGTATGGGGTCCACTACCACCCACAGGATGGTTATGGGGTCCACTACCACCCACAGGAATGGTATGGGGTCCACTACCACCTACAGGATGGGTATGGGGTCCACTACCACCCATAGGATGGGTATGGGGTCTACTACCACCCACAGGATGGGTATGGGGTCCACTACCACCCACAGGATGGGTATGGGGTCCACTACCACCCACAGGATGGGTATGGGGTCCACTACCATTCACAGGATGGGTATGGGGTCCACTACCACCCACAGGATGGGTATGGAGTCCACTACCAATCACAGGATGGGTATGGGGTCCACTACCACCCACAGGATGGGTATGGGGTCCACTACCACCCACAGGATGGGTATGGGGGTCCACTACCACCCACAGGATGGGTATGGGGTCCCCTACCAACCACAGGATGGGTATGGGGTCCACTACCACCCACAGGATGGGTATGGGGTCCACTACCACCCACCGGATGGGTATGGGGTCCACTACCACCCACAGGATGGGTATGGGGTCCACTACCACCCACAGGATGGGTATGGGGTCCACTACCACCCACAGGATTGGTATGGGGTCCACTACCATTCACAGGATGGGTATGGGGTCGACTACCACCCACAGGATGGGTATGGGGTCAACTACCACCCACAGGATGGGTATGGGGTCCACTACCACCCACAGGATGGGTATGGGGTCCACTACCACCCACAGGATTGGTATGGGTCCACTACCATTCACAGGATGGGTATGGGGTCCACTACCACCCACAGGATGGGTATGGGGTCCACTACCAATCACAGGATGGGTATGGGGTCCACTACCACCCACAGGATGGGTATGGGGTCCACTACCACCCACAGGATGGGTATGGGGGTCCACTACCACCCACAGGATGGGTATGGTGTCCACTAACACCCACAGGATGGGTATGGGGGTCCACTACCACCCACAGGATGGGTATGGGGTCCACTGCCACCCACAGGATGGGTAAGGGGTCCACTGCCACCCACAAGATGGGTATGGGGTCCACTAACACCCACAGGATGGGTATGGGGGTCCACTACGACCCACAGGATGGGTATGGGGTCCACTGCCACCCACAGGATGGGTATGGGGTCCACTAACATTCACAGGATGGGTATGGGGTCCACTACCACCCACAGGATGGGTATGGGGTCCACTACCATTCACAGGATGGGTATGGGGTCCACTGCCACCCACAGGATGGGTAAGGGGTCCACTGCCACCCACAAGATGGGTATGGGGTCCACTGCCACCCACAGAATGGGTATGGGGTCCACTACCACCCACAGGATGGGCATGGGGGTCCACTATCACCCACAGGATGGGTATGGGGTCCACTAACACCCACAGGATGGGTATGGGGTCTACTACCACCCACAGGAATGGTATGGGGTACACTAACATTCACAGGATGGGTATGGGGTCCACTACCACCCACAGGATGGGTATGGGGTCCACTACCATTCACAGGATGGGTATGGGGTCCACTACCACCCACAGGATGGGTATGGGGTCCACTACCACCCACAGGATGGGTATGGGGTCCACTACCACCCACAGGATGGGTATGGGGTCCACTACCACCCACAGGATGGGTATGGGGGTCCACTACCACCCACAGGATGGGTATGGGGTCCACTACCACCCACAGGATGGGTATGGGGTCCACTACCACCCACAGGATGGGTATGGGGGTCCACTACCACCCACAGGATGGGTATGGGGTCCACTAACACCCACAGGATGGGTATGGGGGTCCACTACCACCCACAGGATGGGTATGGGGTCCACTGCCACCCACAGGATGGGTAAGGGTTCCACTGCCACCCACAAGATGGGTATGGGGTCCACTGCCACCCACAGAATGGGTATGGGGTCCACTACCACCCACAGGATGGGCATGGGGGTCCACTACCACCCACAGGATGGGCATGGGGGTCCACTACCACCCACAGGATGGGTATGGGGTCCACTACCACCCACAGGATTGGTATGGGTCCACTACCATTCACAGGATGGGTATGGGGTCCACTACCACCCACAGGATGGGTATGGGGTCCACTACCAATCACAGGATGGGTATGGGGTCCACTACCACCCACAGGATGGGTATGGGGTCCACTACCACCCACAGGATGGGTATGGGGTCCACTACCACCCACAGGATGGGTATGGGGTCCACTACCACCCACAGGATGGGTATGGGGGTCCACTACCACCCACAGGATGGGTATGGGGTCCACTAACACCCACAGGATGGGTATGGGGGTCCACTACCACCCACAGGATGGGTATGGGGTCCACTGCCACCCACAGGATGGGTAAGGGGTCCACTACCACCCACAGGATGGGTATGGGGGTCCACTACCACCCACAGGATGGGTATGGGGTCCACTACCACCCACAGGATGGGTATGGGGTTCACTACCACCCACAGGATGGGTATGGGGGTCCACTACCACCCACAGGATGGGTATGGGGTCCACTAACACCCACAGGATGGGTATGGGGGTCCACTACCACCCACAGGATGGGTATGGGGTCCACTGCCACCCACAGGATGGGTAAGGGTTCCACTGCCACCCACAGGATGGGTATGGGGTCCACTGCCACCCACAGGATGGGTATGGGGTCCACTACCACCCACAGGATGGGCATGGGGGTCCACTACCACCCACAGGATGGGTATGGGGTCCACTACCACCCACAGGATGGGTATGGGGTCCACTACCACCCACAGGATGGGTATGGGTCCACTACCATTCACAGGATGGGTATGGGGTCCACTACCACCCACAGGATGGGTATGGGGTCCACTACCACCCACAGGATGGGTATGGGGTCCACTACCACCCACAGGATGGGTATGGGGTCCACTACCACCCACAGGATGGGTATGGGGTCCACTACCACCCACAGGATGGGTATGGGGTCCACTACCACCCACAGGATGGGTATGGGGTCCACTACCACCCACAGGATGGGTATGGGGTCCACTACCACCCACAGGATGGGTATGGGGTCCACTACCACCCACAGGATGGGTATGGGGTCCACTACCACCCACAGGATGGGTATGGGGTCCACTACCACCCACAGGATGGGTATGGGGTCCACTACCACCCACAGGATGGGTATGGGGTCCACTACCACCCACAGGATGGGTATGGGGGTCCACTACCACCCACAGGATGGGTATGGGGTCCACTACCGCCCACAGGATGGGTATGGGGTCCACTACCACCCACAGGATGGGTAAGGGTCCACTCCCACCCACAGGATGGGTATGGGGGTCCACTGCCACCCACAAGGATGGGTATGGGGTCCACTGCCACCCACAGAATGGGTATGGGGTCCACTACCACCCACAGGATGGGTATGGGGTCCACTACCACCCACAGGATGGGTATGGGGTCCACTAACACCCACAGGATGGGTATGGGGTCCACTACCACCCACAGGATGGGTATGGGGTCCACTACCACCCACAGGATGGGTATGGGGTCCACTACCACCCACAGGATGGGTATGGGGTCCACTACCACCCACAGGATGGGTATGGGGTCCACTACCATTCACAGGATGGGTATGGGGTCCACTACCACCCACAGGATGGGTATGGGGTCCACTACCAATCACAGGATGAGTATGGGGTCCACTACCATCCACAGGATGGGTATGGGGTCTACTACCACCCACAGGATGGGTATGGGGGTCCACTACCACCCACAGGATGGGTATGGGGTCCACTACCACCCACAGGATGGGTATGGGGTCCACTACCACCCACAGGATGGGTATGGGGGTCCACTACCACCCACAGGATGGGTATGGGGTCCACTAACACCCACAGGATGGGTATGGGGTCCACTACCACCCACAGGATGGGTATGGGGTCCACTGCCACCCACAGGATGGGTAAGGGGTCCACTGCCACCCACAAGATGGGTATGGGGTCCACTGCCACCCACAGAATGGGTATGGGGTCCACTACCAACCACAGGATGGGCATGGGGGTCCACTACCACCCACAGGATGGGTATGGGGTCCACTACCACCCACAGGATTGGTATGGGTCCACTACCATTCACAGGATGGG